ATATATATATATAACAACAAAAAGAAAATCAATAAAACTTTAGTATTTTTTTTCTTTCTGATTAATTTGTTTCTTTTTCTATTTTAATTTTCATTCTATAAATATTTATAGAAAAAGAACATAATATAACAAATTGGACATTTATAAAACTCAATTTAAGACTAGAAATTATTTCTTGTAGAGATTTATCACAATTAAAGGAAAGAAAAACAAAATATTTATTTTGTTATTTAAACATTTAGTTTCTCATGAGAACAAAAAAAGGATAAAATTAGTTTATTGCAAATGTTTGCATAATAAGAGTTGAAAGAAAAATTATGATAATTATTGAGTTTATTTTGTTTTGGAGAAGAAATTTGTACCGACTAATTTCTATTCAAAGTAAAAAAGTCAATATAGCTTCTACTAAATTATATATATTTTCTTATCGAACCTAGTAATCTACGATAAAATGGATATAGATCAAGTTTTCTTTTAATTACATAGGATGATCAAAAAGTTCATGGAACTACACTCTATTTATTTATAGAAACAATACTCCTCTAATCTTTCCGTATCATATATTCGAAGTAGTTATCGAGATATTTTATAAGACGTTTCATCCTTTCCACGTAAATAAGAATATGTCAGGTAATCCGAAAAACAGAAATCCGGAAAAGAAATAAATCTCTTCGAAAGGTTTTGTGGTGTAGGTGTGAGTGTGAGTACTGATGTGGAAGAAGAGTAGCCCATACCTATACATCTACGCCCTGAATACCTGCTGCTACAACAACGACATCGACCGTACGAAGCTTCTCGATGGACTCTCACTATTGGTGGTTTCAAAAAAATAAGCTTATCAGATTCTCTCTAACACATTTACACCTTTTATTTGTTGTACCTTCTATAATTAATAAACTTCAAGTCAAAATTTTCCGGATTTATTCTTTTCCGGATTTATGCTTTTCTAGATTTATTTTTTCCGGATTTTCTTTTCCGGATTTCTTAACAATACCGTAAATAATATGTATCGAATTGGTCTCCTTAGTCATTACTAGAAAGTCGATACTAAAAATATTTTAAAATGTGTCAAAGTGACAAATAGATTTTATATGTGATATCATGATATTGAATGAAAATTATTATTAAAATTTAAATCAATAGAAGAAAGTAGTTTTCGAATCGATATTTCTTATTATGATTATCAAAAACAATTATATATCCTCTTGGTTAGTAACTTCTGAATGATTATCTATCATCTAATAGTTTCTATAGTGAATGAAAGCAATCCAATCGATATTACTAATAAATTTTTAAACTAATAAACGCGAAAAGGTATGATCAGTTTCTGTCCTGAGGCTTTTCAACAACATATAAACTATGTTATTGTTAACTTCGAACTAAGAAGAATGACGTTAAACTTTACTGATCCTACTTACCTAAGATTATTCTTTCATACTCATTGTTATTAAGATGTATGATTATGACGCGATATATCTCTTGTCATAAAGAATATTGCGAAGATAAGGATGATATTTGTTTTACAAAAGAAAGAGAATAAACAACGAAGAGGAGCTATAACAATTTATTAAAGATAATAAACAAAGAAGCCAATTCAATACATATTATTCACGTCGAAAGAAGATCTAAAGAGTAGGTTGAAAGAATGAAACTTCTCATGGAATATCTCAACAACAATCTCGATTATATACTATAGAAACATTACTGAAACATCATTTCTATAAATAGATACAGTATAGGCCGAGAAACTTGTCGATTATTATATATATATCGAATTGCATCTACTTAATATTTTGACAATTCATCAAAAAAACAACAATAATATTTATGTAAAAAAAATTTCTCATAGATAATGCGTTTACAAATATACTAAATAATCTTATTTTCGTATTTATTTACAATCTATGGCTAAGAAAAAAACTCAAAATATGAAATATTATATTAGTAAAAATAGAATTGATTGATCTATGCATAGATATTTTATTATTGATCAATTAATGAAACCATTGATGAAACAAGTGAATTTATCTTTTTTTATATATTTAGATATTTTTATTAGAATTTTATGAAATTTACTTTTAAAACTATAAAAAAATTTTTCTAAACAAAACAAATAAATATATTCTATTATTTGATGATTGGCGACATCTATCAGAATTATATTTTATGTTCCACTAAACTTCTATTATTAATCTTATTTAATATTCTAAATAATAATTTATAGATGTATTCGACAATACAATTTTCTTTTCTATAGAGTTTGCATCGACTATAGAATAATAGTGAATTACTATCTGCCTCTGACTACTCAGTAAAACACAATAGAAAACTGTTAAAGAAGATAAGTCAATATAATTTTAATTGTGAATGAATACTTTTGTTTTATTGATGATTTATTCACATATAAATATTTTTCATTTAATAATTTCTTTGAAAAAAACAATCAATAATATGATTAAATATTTAGTAAATATATCGTTACAACATTAAACCTCTTAAATATATTTTTTTTTAATATAATTCATAAAACAATCTTTTACAAAACAAAACGAAAAGAAAAATATTTTGAATAGAAGCAAAAAAATAAATAAATAGTTTATCTATTCTCTCATACATAAAATAAGAGCGTAACAATTTATATGCATACAGTCACAGGTGATTTTTTTTAAAATAAATCTTCTCTTCATTAAGATTTTTAAGAATGATATTTCGGTGGTAGTGGAATCTGTCTCTTATCATCATCATCTCGTTCTGCTTGAATACGTGTTGCATTAGCAAAACTTGTTTCCATTGGAACATATATTCTATGACCTATGGGACGAATAAATGATGAACCATTTCCTAATGGATCATCTCCCATCATACCACCGGCTGTTAATGTTGCCATACATGGATTTTGTAATTGAAGTTCACGTTCTCTAGATAAATTTAAATAATTATTTTATATGAGAAAAAAAAGAACGCGGAGTTATTTCACACCTTGAAACTCGTTTTGATAATCGATATGCAAGAAATGTTCGAATACCAAATAGAATAAGAAAACCAATAATTAATAATACAACAATTGATGATATGATTACTACAAATAAACCAATACCACTAACTGAAAGAAAAAATTGCAAGAGAAAAGAATTAATTTTATTGTATAGAATGTTTCTTACTATTTTGACATCGTTTTCCTGCATGAAAAAAATCACAATCACATTTATAATCTCCTGGTAAATTTGTACAACTAAATGATCCACATATTCGATCATTTGCAGCACATTCATTTATATCTAATTCACACATCAAACCTCCATAGCCAGATGAACATACACATTTATTTGTTACATTTGAACAAAATCCTTGAATATAAATAAGAATCTCGGTTTTTTTTTTCTTCTTTTAATCGAAGAATTCAAGCAGGAAAAAAAAGAGAAATAACTGACCTCCATTAAAACATTCATAACGGCTGTCGCAAATTCCATTTTGTGGTATTTCTATTAAAAAAAAAGAACGACATATACAATGTTATATATAAATATATATATATATAATTATTGAATATGATTGTTCAACGGATGTTGGAATTTTGTTTTACGCTCTTTTGGCGGGAATATGAAAGGAAGTATTACATAATAAAATAACTCTTACCTTGAAGCACACAACGTCCTGTTGATGGAGAAAGAGCAAAACCCGGAAGACACACACAGCTGACACCACTTCCATTAGATAAACGTATGCACACAGCACGAGTGTCACATTTTGCACAATTAGGATCATCTGCTTGACTGATTACTAGAAGGATGAAAATGGTTACTTAAAGTTTATATTAATAATTATAAAGAATTTTCTTTTCTCTTTCTTTTCTTTTTAAATAAAAATGAGTTATTTCCTTTTTCTTTCTTTTTCTTATGCTAAGAGACGTCTAATCGATTTAATACTTGAACAAAATGATATGATTGATACATAATATCTACAACGATACTTTTTAAGTGGGGGATATATACATGTATATTGTACAAGAATTTATTCTTACTCTTGTTCTTAAAATTTAAAGTGTTCGTTGATAAATCCTTTCTTCTTAATATTCTGTATTGTTCTGTACAAGTATATATATATGGTAACCGATATATGTGCTAACTTGTTACTACTTGTGTCAATTGAACTGAAGGTGAAGTATTTTCATCAATTTAATAGATGTGTTAAAATGTGATAATCTGACACCTATACTACAATATTGGATAAACATATAGCATTTACTTAAAGGTCGTTAATTTAAATTGAAATATGATCAGTATCGACTGCTGAACATATATATATATATGTACATGCGTATATATCTATAGACAGCGGAACCAATTTATTTAGTTTTTCTTCTTTCATACTCTTTACCTACCTGTAATATGATTTTGTCCATAAACGATCCCAATAGTAATAAGACATATGAACAGAACCGAAACAATCGTCGACATGGCTTAAAGATTAGCTACAAATGCTTTACATATACACACCGAGAATAAGAATGATTGTTTTAAAATGAGCTCGTGTGAAAAAATCCTTTTCTCTCTTCTGCTCTCTTACTCTTGCGCAATGGTACCAAAAAAA